ATAAATGCTCTTTTCTCAAGCACAGCAAAAAATAAGCTATGTAACCTAAAGCCTTTTTAAAAATGTCCAATCTTAAAATAAGTGTTGAATTTTAGAAAATAAAGTAAATGAAATATGTAAATTAAGTTTAACTTCTATTCTGGTCCATCTCTCTCTCTCCTCCTGTCTGTTATACATGACGCCCCTCTCTCCCTCTGCAGTAAATACCAGTCAGTGAACATCAGTACGAACCTGTACGTGATCAGTCAGCCGTGGCTCTACACCCTGGCCTGGTGTGCCGGAGCTCAGTCCGTCACCACCAACTCCGTGAACGTCCTGTCCAACATCAACAAGCCGCTCTTCCTCATGGTGAGGAAAATACTTGAAGGATTTAAGAATCGCAAGAGTCAACTCTGGGTTGAGTTGAATTTATTCGCTGATTGTGAATGTTTCTTGAAAACAGAGATTTAAACTCTCAGCCTGATTAAATAAGAAATAAATAAATTGCTCCGTGAAGAAAAATTAAAAGAATATAAGAAGTTAAAACATTTTTCATGTGTTATTAGCAGAGTTTTTATTCTCACACCAGACTGAGCTCAGCGTTGCTCTTCGTGATCTACCTCTCGGAGTATTGCCATGGAAACACAGACACGTGCTACACGATCTTTGATGGAAGCAGGTGGGAGGTTCTGTATCGGCCTGAAAATCTCGGCAGCAGATGTCGAGGGTGTTTGAAGATTCAGTCTGTGACATTTTAGTTACATAAACGTCCTCGACCTCCACCTGCACATCTGGGAAGTTTTCTAATCCGTGTGTTCAAGTCTTCACGGTTCTTTATGAACCCTGAACGTTCACACTCGTCCGTGTCTGCTCCGAAAAAATGTGAGGAGCTTTTGTTTCAGTAAATTAAATTAAATCTCTTTCTCTCCAGACTCCTGAAGAATACAGTCTGATGTGGATTCTGACTGACGCTGTGTCTGCCTTCCTCATCATCGCCATTTTCATATTCCATTGGTGCGTAGACACACATACACACACACACACACACACACTCACACACACTCTCATAATTACCTTCCCCTGCTGATTGTGACGTCTGGTGTCGGGTGGTGAAGCTGGTCTGAGTCATCCTGTTATTAATATTTGATCTGAGAGTCTCTGTCGACACCAAAAGTGTTTTTGATCAAGACTCAAGGTGGAAATTGAATGAATGTTGATTTATTTTTCAACCGACCATCGTTTATATCAGTTCCAAGCCCTCGGTTTGAAATCATCCTTTTTCATTCAGGAATAAAATAAATATGTGATTTATTTTTTATTACCTCCAGCGAGGAAGTTTCATCTGGGTTTGTCAGTAAGTTTGCATTGAGGCCTGACATGAGAGAGAACCCATTAAATTCTGTTTCACATCCGAGAATCATTAAAGTGAGGATACGAAAATGTGTGTGTGTGTGTGTGTGTGTGTCTGTGTGTGTGTGTGTGTGTGTGTGTGTGTGTGTGTGTGTGTGTGTGTGTCACAGGTGGAGAGAGAGAGGCCTGCCCTTCTGGTCTGGCAGTCGTCAGACTCATGAGAACGGACCGTACAGCAAGTTCAGGACGGGTATGAGAATATCTTTGTTGTGAGTCTGTTTTGTGTCACTGTGTGTAAATGAAACACAAAAGAATCTGATGTTTGGCTCCATAATGACGTCAGGATCTTTTTGAGGCCGCTTTGCATGCAGTGATGTCCTGCTGTGTGTGTGTGTGTGTGTGTGTTTGTGTGTGTGTGTTGTTCGTATCAGACTCTTCAGAGGTCGTCTGTGTTCACTGGAGCCCCCTCCGCTCTGACCCTCCTGCTGGAGCCCTCGTCTCTCTCCCCTTGGTCTTCAACCCATGACTCCCTGCATGTCAGCCTTCAGGAACCTGTATGACCCTTGTATGACCCCTGTATGACCCTTGTATGACCCCTGTATGACCCCTGTATGACCCCTGTATGACCCCTCTACTAAGTTCAGCTCTTTTAGTTCCCTGAGTTCAGGTGTGAACGCACCCAGATGTTTCATGAGATCACATTCGGAGGAGGTGTGAGACGCGTGTGGCCACGTTCTTTGTGCTGTGTGGACACAAATGTCTCCGGGCCACATGTGAAGGAACGTCCCAGCTGACGTCTCAGCTGACGTCTCAGCTGACGTCCCAGCTGACGTCCCAGCTGACGTCCCAGCTGACGTCCCAGCTGACGCTTCTGATCGGCCACGTAACGATTGACTCTTTTCTTAAATGGGTCAACACACGACACAACCTGTTGATCCATTGACTCGTCTCTGTGTCTGCACCACTTCTCACTGCTCCTCCACTGAAACACACAACACAGTGACATGAGACTGTAAACTCACACATCTGGACACAGTTTGATACGAAGGTGTGAACACATGTGATCTAGTCTCTCAGGACAGATGTCAAAACCAGGTCACAGTGTTCACCTGAGCTCTGTTACAAAAGAGCTGCAACACAACGTTTCCCTGCATCATGAACCCAACTCAGCACCTTTTTCATCTTCTTCAAGTGTTTCCTGTGCACCTTTGAATGTGGCCTCTGTTTTACCCACAATGCTCCTTGACAGGTGAAGCTATAAAGTCTAAACTGTTTGATGTTTGCCTCCCTCTGCAGAGCTGAGTGACGTGTGGTCGATCTCCAGCGTCAACATCAGGCCTGATACCCGGAGCACGCCCAGCTCTCCCATCACACCTCACCTGCCCACCATCACAGAGGAGTGAGGGAGAGAGGGAGAGAGAGAGAGAGAGAGGGAGGTAGAGAAGTGTTAAAACTTGATTTCATATCTTCAGCATTTATTGATCAAATTAAACATTCATGATGAAGCAACAATCAAATCAGACTGAACTTAATTTATTCAACATTAACAGGTGGTTTCATTTCATTCAGATTTTTGAACAGTGGTGGAGGAAGTACTTTTTACTTCAGTTCAGGTACAAATAAGTAGACATATTAGTAAAAGTACCATATTATCTTTACTACCTGAGTAAAAAGTAAGTTAGTAAAAAATATACATATGATAACAAATTTTATTTATTTATAACAATTCAACACAAAGTTCTTTAAATTCAACCAATAAAAAAACATTTGACAAAATCAAATAAGGAAATGAAATGAATATAAATCGCAGGTTTAAACAGTCGTCAGGCGAAACATTGAACTTCAGGATACTGAGTCTACTGCAGGAGGCGGAGTCTAACGTTACCTGCCTGCTCTGATTGTGACCATGTATTTAATGGAGTACCTGAAAATAAACATATTTAAGTACAGGTACAAGTACAGTAAGTAAGTAAATATACTTTGTTACATTCCACCACTGTTGGAGTAGGACCTCATCTGATTTAAATAAAAGAGCAAATAAAATGAAGATGTTCAGAAATCAAAGTGACCAATAACAGATCAGTGAAAATTTATCAAGTAGATTCAGACAAACTCTCTCGTCTTTCTCCACTTCCTGTGTCGTCCTCCGTCTGTGGGACGGAACTGAACTGAACTGAACTGAACTGAGCTGAACTGAACTGAGCCTCGCTCACTGATCTGGCCTCAGTGACGGAGCAGAGAGATTCTGGACATGAGTCCAGGAACATTTTCATACGGTAACTTCATCAAAGAGCCGCGGCAGTGACCTGACACTGGACAGTTTAAAACACGAGCCCGGAGGCCGACACGCTCGAGAACATTTTCATCTTTCAACACCAGCTGAGCTCAACAACGCAAGACATCAAGAAACGTAACCTCACACAAACAAAGAAGACATCGATGAATATAAACCGCTGTAGACGTGAGTCGCTTCCACTTTTACCATCTCGTGTTTCTAAGTTGATAAAAGCCAAATGATGGAGTGAAAGCAGTGAAAGCTTCAGAGCAGGAAACGTGTGTCAGCTGGACTCTGAGTGTCTTCTGTACCTTTTCATCATCAGCTGCATTAGACCAAACCTTGAACCCTGTTTTAGACTGTAGCTGTGTGAGTGTCTGGAGGCTGAGTGTGATCTGTACACTGACTGAGTGAATGTAAACCAGAGGATAGAGACGGTGTCGTCAATATTTGTTTCTACTAAAGTGAATGTATCATCAGACGGGGCCGTGTTTCTTCATGAGGAACGTTGTGGCCGGGTCCTTTCAGTTTTCAGGTTTGTGCCAAATATAGTTTTAGTTGTTCTGAATAAAGATCATGAGACGGTGCTTGTGGAAGTTTGACTCTGTTGTTCTCCTGCGCTTCACTGTTCTGATCTGATCTGGCTTCAGATCACATTTCTCGTCTCAACGTTTCTGGAAAGTCGTGGATTTGTGAGTTTGCTGTTCAGTGTTGGAGATGAACGTGCTGCAGAAACTTTCATCAACCAAAGACACAGGTTTTGACGTCATTGTTAAGAATCAGATGCACTTTGTTCACCAGGTCAGTGGGATGTGACGGATCTGTGAAGCACAGTAACCTGCAGGTCTCAGCATCAGTGGGCCTCGATTGACAGTCGGCTGCTCAGGAACAAGAACGATTGAATGGATCATCTCCAAACTGGGAGGAAGGACGTGGCATCTGGATTCGGATTATTTTTCTCTCTCTAACATGGCGTGATGTTTTTTGTTTTTTTTACAGGGGCGGTTTGGCCTTAGCAGAGATACGAGCTGTCCTGATTTATATATAATTCAAAGCTTCCCCCGTAGATTTGGATCAATCAGTAAGTCGGAGATCACAAAGCGATTCTTGACAAGTTATTTCTGACTCTTTTTTCAGTTTTTCTGACTCATTTTTTTGTTTTTCTGACTAATTTTTTTTCAGTTTTCTGACAAATTTTTTTCCAGTTTTTCTGACTTTTTTTGTTTTTCTGACTTTTTTCTGTTTTTCTGACTCTTTTTTCTGTTTTTCTGACTCTTTTTTTTGTTTTTCTGACTTTTTTCTGTTTTTCTGACTCTTTTTTTTGTTTTTCTGACTCTTTTTGTTGTTTTTCTGACTTTTTTCTGTTTTTCTGACTCTTTTTTCTGTTTTTCTGACTTTTTTTTCT